GTAAATTGAGTAAAGCAGATTGTTATCTATCAAGAGAAATTCAAAAATGTGTGTGAGGAGATTAGATTAACCCAGAAAATGAATGTTCAGTTATTATACAAATTACATATACAATTATATCAACACTGAAAGTAGTAAGGATATTACATCCTGAAATGAGTCATTGAAACATTAATCTACTTACATATGAAACCAAATAAGTAATATTTTCAGTTTTGCAAGTAAATAGAAATATTTTACAGCCATTCAAGTTTACGTTAAAGAGAGCCATGAGTATTCGTTGGAAATCGATGAAAGTCTGAAGCATGATATGAAAACGACGAATGTATCATTCACGTAAACCTCAACAAACTGCTCTTATTATTTGCAGATAGTGACGAATTCTCTTATCAGTCCAAACTATTGTATTATACAGTTGATTATTTATGAAGACTAGTAATGCTGCATAAATAAATACATAAGTGAATGTTACTTACAAGGAATAGTGTTATATCACCACCTACTTCGAGAGCGACCAATGCTGGCTAAAATGCATTGATAAGTTAACATTTAACAAAAGTATATTAAGCATAAATTTACCAATACTGAAAAAAGTGACTGTGAAATGAATTGAACTACATATTCAGATACGACTCATCTTCCAGGTTTGTTTCAGTGTTTGCGAATTAAGGCTATATCAAGGCGATACGATTGATGCATATCATATATTGAAGAGAATTCATTTCACTTCGCCTAATCTAAATTGTTTGACATGTTATCTTGTATCTATAAGTAAATAATTCAGTAGTGTTGAGGTTAATCATAATCACCTACAACTTATGGATGTAAGAAAGACGTTTAGTTGAAGACCGTGATTTATTCTTGTACAAGTATCATGCACAAACTGTTATAGTTACGGTGGCCAAAATTATAGAAGTTTGTTGGTTAAACATATATGAATAAAGAATCGGCTGAAGTTGGACATTTACAAAATTGGATACCGGCTCAGTCGTCTGGTGGTTAAGCGCTCGCGCGCAAAACTGATAGTTCCTGTATGCCTATATGCCAATAAGAGACTGATCAATTGTAGTCCTAAATATGAATGGGAAGATTCAAACAAACAATAATAAGTGAATTTAATACCCAACGTAGTTTAACGTAGTCGTTAATTTAGAATAACTTTATCAAACCAATTCGTTTTCTTTATTTTCGCAAAACTGATTACTTACCCACCTGTCACTTAGAAAACGTCTGCGATTTGCAGTGTATAAGTCGGTCGATACAACTGCTTTCTGAAAACAAACTAGCTGCGAAAGCGTTTATTTAAATTTGAAACTTAAGAGTGAACTGAGTATTTAATTATTTTCTACTGTGTATTGGAAGTATTATCCAGTTACTTTGTGTTTGAAGTGTCTATCAGATGTTTAGGTCGTAAAAGAATCCTATCATACTATAATAGTAGTTTCTTTGATGTATTTTCATGAAAACATGGTCATATCAACAATGAGTAGCTTGGTAAAAAAAACAGTTTCACTCGTTCACATACTCGTCGGTTTAAAACATAAAACACAGTCGCAGCTGCAACAAAAGCAATGGAAATAACCAGAAAATATATTAAAATCAACACGAAGTGATCGGCTAATCGTATTTGGATTGCACCTCCAATGAATATAGAACAAATAAAAGATATCAAGGTAATTGCGATGGCAGCAACTTTCAAGTAGACGTATAGATCCAAAATCGAAATTCCAATCGCTATACCGATCAATATCGACAGAAATATAACAAATTTAAACAAAATTGTAATTAGTGGTCAACGTTTAGTTGACCGCTTGCAGAAAAGTCTCTGTACAATATCTATCGTCATAGGTGAAGTTTTTACTAGAATATAGTTAGAAAATACTTACGAGAAAGCTGATGTTCATTTTCCAATGATTTTTCCAAGACAAATATAGATGAATGAAGAAATGCAAGGCTCTTAGATTAATGTGCATTTACCGATATATTGGGAGTCACATTGTAAAGAATATTTATTTCAGTTTTTCTCTCATCATTGCCTAATGATGTTTCAGTGTTGAAGTAAGTGTATACATATAGATTCGTCACGAGGATCATCGTTTACTGCATATATGCTTTCTGACTCACATAGAAATGTGAATGAAACTGAGCTCTCTCATATTTTGTTGCCTGACTTGTTTGATGTTCAGAGATGAAAGATAGATCGTCCCTGAAATCAATAAGCAAGTTAGAACTGTAATCATCCACTATATCATATAAGAGAATCATATTACATTAGTGACAGTAATCACATTCCTACTTAGATCTAAACTCGTATGTATTAAAAAAGTTCATAAACTGGTAAACTAAATTTAAAAATTGACAGTTCTTACATAAATAATCAGAAGACCAACAGTGAGTAGATATTCATTTGTTATTTCTCTATAGAATATAATCAACATACCCAACACAAAAGCAGAACATCTACAAAATAAATCAAAATGAATGAGAATAATCTTTAACCGTCATTTTCATATATAAACAACTGTGAAGGAAAATTCACACATCCTAAATAAAACTACTTATTTTGATGTAGGTTTGTTCTCTGAGCTGGATGGTTTGGTCGTGGAGGCGTCTATAGCCAAAGTTTGTGCTGATGATGTCTTTCAGAGGGACGATGAAAGCTCCACGACCAAACCATCCAGCTCAGAGAAAATACCTACATCAAAATCACCCACCTAAGTTACAAATCAGAGGATTCATTGTTCATTCATGTTATTAGAAGAGGATTTGTAATATGTTATCTTTGTCAATTATGAATGTTGAAAATATATTTTGATTAGTCTTGTGTTTCCAAGTAGTTATTCACTTCAATCTTAATGGTCTGACTGAATACAATTTTGATTCAGAGGTGATAACACTAATTCAAAGAGGCGTTTAGTTCAACAATAACATGTAGCTTAAAAATTAAGACAAGCTCCATAAAGAGTAAAAAAGTTGGATTGTTATTCATTATAACTTGTAATAAAGGTGATGGGATCATTATTCATTAACATAATTCAGACAGCATGCATGTCCGACTTATTATTTGATAATGGATTCCTGATCACCAATATCCGTCTATTAATGTGATGAGCAAATTGTGTTGATTGACATGATGTTCCAAATGGGTACATAATTCAATGTGACAAATAAACTTTCGGAAAACTTGATTAGAATTTGTATTATTACTTTTAAGTCAACAAATGATAATAATGATAAGATTGCAATAACTAAAAACGTACATCAATATCCAAGGTAAAACTGTCCATGGATTCTTAGATTTGGAAGTTTCCCCCTACAAAGTATTTACTTCTATGGTTGATTGAACAACTTACAGCGGTGATAAGATTATGATAATCAACAGTGTAATAGCTATTTCAATTCCAAGAATAAGAAAAATCTAAAATCGATAAACAGCTAAAAATATTCATCATATCATACCATTTTCGTATACTCTGATAGAGCAGAAATATTACTGCCGTTCAATATATTTGTAACTTTGCTGTCTGAGTGGTACATCCATGAACTGTTGTATAGATCAGCAAATATTTCTTCAAGTGTATCTAGAAATAGGTGAAAATATGATGCCGTTTCCTAACATTTCCAATGATATAAATATATGAAAATATTGTATAAAACATCAAATAATCTATGTGAGTTCACGATATCTCCTTCTCTTTCTCTGAACACTTAGATCACACGACTCAATCGAAGTTCCACAAAATGTATTATTTGTTATTACGTCTATTTTCTTAAGTTGCATTTATGATTAGTTTATATCGACAACGATCGCGGTTATTCGGAATAATTTTTATTTTATAAGATTTTATAAATTCATGATAGTATTAGCATATTCTACACGAAATAACTAGACACTTATCATAATAAATCCTTCATTGTCGAAAAATGTTGAACACAAGTCCTCAAGAATTCGACTTTCTCGAATGATTGGTAAGTAAAATTTTAAGAATGAACACATCTAAATGTACTCTTTATTTCAAATATTAATTACTACTAACATTTCCGAATTGCAGTGAAAGTAGGAAGAAAGAACCGAATACAATGTGATACTTGATCATTTCGTTGATCTTATTGAATCACGTTAATTTAGTGGAATAACTGAGTAATTAACTGACTGTCAAGTATATAACTATCCTCTTATGATTAGACACTTTTGATTTGATCATTATAGAGTAAGATGACATTGATTGAAACGTTTTCGGTTTTTGATGCACCTTCGCATTGATGATGATCCAAGATTTTTGCTTCATGAAAATATGGAAAATCATGGTTCATGGAGTTTGTAAAACGTAGATGAGATCGTAAGAAAGGGAATATTCATCCATCATTACTTGATAAATTAGAGAAATGGTGTTGTATATCACAGCCTTAATGGTTTGTTTATTATGCCCCGTATGATAGATTATTCAAACCGCAGTACTGAAAATAATATAAAGATCTTCTTAGAATTATATTCAATAATGAAACTTTGAACTGCAGTTAGGTTAATTTGATAAAAGTAACCGTAGTTTTGGTGTGTGTGTGTGTGTGTTTGTATACTTTTGTGAATTGATGATTAACATGATTTTCAATTGTATCTCTAATAGACAAGATTCAGTATTCAATCTAGTTAAACTAGTACGTAGAAGAACTATGAACTATTCAATTGATTGTAATAATAACAATGTGGATCATTTACATAGTTCATTATATTTTAATGATGAACCATTCTGTTAATCTTCAAAGGTTGCGCTATGAATATCTGAATCATCACCCATTGAATTGAGCTTTATAGATCATTCCGTAGTTCATGTTGATAAGAGCATAGTTTTCAGACACATTTCAGGTTTTTATTTTAGATTTTACGCATAAACCTAAGTATTTGCAAAAGTATAATATGACACTCAATTTGTTCCTTGTACGAATTACACAACAACCATTGAGGTCGAATAATATGAATTCAATACAATTCGTCGTTTGTTATCAGCTGCTTACAACCATCTTATAATTTCCGAATAGAATGGTACGAGAGTCGTGAATTTCATCAAAAACCACAATCTTTATATCCGAAAACATTCTGTCCATCACAGATATGTTCATTTCAACAGAACATAGACTGTATTCCTTATGTACTGTGATATTGGAAATCATTGTTGTTAACTTTCAATTGTCTTCATTCTGAAAATCTATTTCGGTTCTTACATTTCTGGTCTTTTTCTTTTTCTATTCGCACACATATTGCAGATCAAAATCTTTTATTGTTTTATGATTACTTGGTGAATGTTATTCGTCAAACAGACAAGGATACATTGATATTTTACGAGAGTGTAACTTATGGAATATTTTTTCCATTTGTCAATGGAATACCTGGTACTGGCATGCAACGTGTTCCTGGTCTATTACAAGATGAGATGGCCAGAAAGAAGAGTGTATTATCTTATCATTACTACTGTTGTCTATTGCAATCGACACCAGCTACAGAGCATATGCCATCATGGAAACGATATTTGTGTGATCAGGTGAGAGTTTTAATACCTGGTTTATTGTTTGTAGTGTATGTGCATTTTGAATATTTGATGCTTTAATAAGAACAATAACCCACTGATATTTTGTAGCATAAGCTGACTGACTTGATTTTTGTTCGTAACTTGATAACCAGACTTGACTGAAAAATTTTGAAATTCTTTGTCACCCTTATAAATTATTCGATCTATATTCAACACAACTACATTCAGTTAAGGATCGAAGGACCGCTGACCCAGAGTATTTTCGTAATAAAATATTGTTTACATTTGACACCATATCCTTGCGTTAACCAGACAACTATATGCGATTCAGTAGTGCGTGCTTGCAACACTACCCGAAATCAAACCTAGAGCTTTAATAGGTCTTAGCGAGTGATTTTTCAGATTAGCAGTTTGACATTCGATGATTGACATTTTAGCTGTAGTCTTTTGATTTCTCTACTTTATATTAAGCCTAAAATTTAATTACCGAATGAATTTCATATAGTAAGAACGTCATTGTTTATTGGATGTGAGTTAAACAACATAGAACCTTCAATATTTCTGTTAAGCAGAATTTTGCAAACACCAACCATGTGAAAATTGGCTTTAGCTTCAGTAATTCCTACTTCTCATTAAAATATTATAAATAATGAAACACTAAATCTGCTGACATTTTATTTGGATTATCTCGTTTTTATTCATAAGCCTTTCCAATTATTTCAACTGATTTCGATCAAGATATTAAAATTGATTGATAGACCACTCGAATCCTATAGGCCATGAACATTTGTTCAGTTGTAATTCTGAAAGGTTTCACAATGTTTATGAGAAGAGTTATCTGTTGGTTTAAGTTTGTTGGTCGTTGACAGAAATTTCAAATCCAAATTATCTCTCAACTGTGCAGACGTATGGAGTTATTATCTCAGATGTTTCATCCTTATAGTTGATCACTTTCAATACGCTGATTAGATATGTAAACGTTGACTAAGTTAATAGATTTGAGTGAACTCAAACAAGTACTTGTAACACATTTTTGTTTGTGAAACCACGTAGCACACCAAGAAATGTCGTTAGATCCGAATGAGAAGTCGTTACTACTGGGGTTCAAATAGATGAGTGGTGGCATATTGATCATCTTTGACATTGCACGATCATTGAACACCATTGTAAATTGACTAAACGATAATATTTCATGAGTTGTATTTTATCTCAGAGGTCTAAATTTTTTTTACTTACCTTCAGATTTGGAAGTTTGTGCTCCAACATCTGTCATAATTGTTGATGATTACTCCTGACAGGTTCCGTTGTAGAAAAAAGATTCGATTATTGATTTCTAGTTTTAGGCAATACATTCACTGTTGCTGATCCTTAATGGAAATCAAGCCATTCACAGAGAACAGATTCACTATCAAAACTAGCATTGATAATAGTAATAACAACAATGAAAGCAACATCAAAACACTAATATACTTCAGAATTGATTTACTTCTACTTCATTGAAAAACACCCATTGACTTGCTCATGTTTATCAATTACCATTTAGATGTCTATTTATCTTTTATCCATGGAAATACTCTCAGTAAACAACATGATGATTAAGTTTGCAAAATTGTTAGAACCATAGTGTATTTTGTAATTGATTAAAACAAGTCAAATAAGATGAGAAAATAAACTGAACCTAATGAAAGTACTGTAGAGTAATCTCGGAACGAAAATTTAAACCGTGTGATTTGTATTCAAACCGTCATTCATGATGTGTGGAATTTCACAACGAATTTCATTCTTCATATATTTGCGGTGATTGTAGAATGATTAAGTTTGAATAGACTACTTAACTTTACAGACCTTAGCAAAATGGAACATTAATGGAATCTTTTTTTTACATGAGCAGAAGGGGATATATCTCAATTTCCGTTGACATAGTGGTGGAAAATAGAAAAACGAAAAGAATGAGTGATTTTAAATTCGTGTTGTTGTTTGTATGGACTATGAATAAATAAAGATAATTTGTAAGATTCCTCCCTACGCACAGATAACAATTTAATAACTTCATTTTCATCAAAAATTACGATAAGAAAACATTGGTCATACTAATGTAAGTCGTTTGAGTTGATTCAATGAACACGTGGATTCTGACTCAATGATGTGATGCATTCCATCATTTGTGATACACATAATCGAATAACAGTTTGCTGTTATCGTGACACATCAACTAACAATTACAATGTTTGAATGAGTTCTCCTCACAAATTAACATCAGTTACATATACATTGTTCAGGTTCAACAATTGTGAACGCGAGAACATTGTCAATAAACTTATATGGTGAATCATATAAGCTTATGCAGGATTTCTGGTTAATGTGATATTTAGTCAGTTGGACATAATGGCCATTGATTGACAAGATACCACTTCTTGGTATTAGTTCATTTCCATCTTACTGAACTGATGATTCGGTGTTGTGTGAATCTTTATTTATGGATTGTTGAGAAATGAGTGATTTTGTGATTTGTAGAATCATTTTATTTCCAAGCCAGTTACTTTGTAATCAAACCACAGAATTCGAAATCACCCAATTTTTGTGCCTTTCCTCACTCGATCATGTAAGTACTTGTGAACATAAATATAATCATAATCATTTGAAGATGGAGAATAATGAACGTCTGTTGGTTTTTTGCAATTTTTCATAACTAAGTCATAAATGTAATGAATGATAGGTCAATGAACAAAATGGATAATGTGTTATAGCTTTGACACAGTGTATGCAGATTATTGTAGTCTAGTTTCATTGCAGAAATCATTCACATACTTATCAATGTTGATATTGTTATTGCTTGTGTTTAGCTTCTCTTAAATTATACATTCAAAAATGTGAGAAGTATAGTTCAATCCACTGGTGGCGGACGGTTTTTAACAGAATTCGGTCTATGTCTTCCTGATGGTAATCCAGATTCAATAAATACGGTTGAATGTAATGCTGTGCTGAATGCAGCAGATAGGAACTTCGAATCATGGACGTACTGGGACGGATATGAATTATTTTCTAACTTAAATGTAGAAAACATTTCCGTAGGTTTTGTAATTGATAATATCTTTTTTGAATTTATGTCAAATTTCTTATTGAAGTCATTATGTTCTGTACGGTGAAGGAATTTATAATTTTCATTCTGAACAGTGTCATCAGTATAATTAGAACAACATCAGTAAGCGAACAATATTGTTTTCAATTAGATCGTCATCAGGCTTTACTCTACATATACATGGATGTTTATATGAAAATGTTAGACCAATCACAAGGCTATTTGAGTCAATAATAATCATAATGAAATAGAATATGTAACCGAGCCTAATAATAGTTAAAATTACAAGTTGATAGTGGGAAGATAGGTGTACTGATGGTAGTAAGAATAGGAAATTACAATAACAAAAGTCTTATCAATAATTAAACATAAGAAATAAGAATTCATTATATGTGAAAAAAAGTTATAATTGAAATAGTCATAGCGATTGAACTATAAATAATTCCAACGTTTCGTCCAGCTAACTTGTCTGGACCTCTTCAGGGAAGCAATCAAAATCAAAATCATCAAAGAAATATACATAGTGTTTTTTCCTTAACAATCATTTCATCAAAATCTCTACTACTTTTTAATTCAGTCATATTTGGATGTCGAATATTTTTGTTGTAAACAGGATAATATGAGTGAGTTGAATGAGAATCAAGTGAAAAGTTCAACAATGTAAAATAAAAGGAGACTGGATGAATTGTGTGTATGTATGTATGTATGTATGTATTTTGTAGTTTCGTGTTCTTTCAGTAGATCCTGTAATACCTGGAACCTGTTGTTGAGAGTTATCTTGAATTCATGGAGCTTGTCAGTATCTCGAAGGAAGGCTGTATTGAACCTTTGTAGTGCTGTTTGTCCAGTTGTCCAGTCTTTCTTTAGCTTCAGTCTCATCTTGGCCACAACCAGGCAGATAGTGATCTGAAGCTATGTCAGCTCCTCTACGGGTTCTCACATCTTCCATTGATCTTCGGAAGTTTTTGTTGATACAGATGTGATCTATCTGGTTCTCTGTGATTTGGTCCGGTGAGATCCATATAGCTTTGTGTATGCACTTGTATGGGAATATTGTGCCGCCTATAACCAATTTGTTGAAAGCACATAGGTTTGTAAGTCTCTCCCCATTTTCATTTCTCTCTCCTAATCCATGTCGTTCAATTACATCTTCATATCCTGTGTTGTCCACTTCAACTTTAGCATTTAGATCTCCCATAAGGATGGTGAGGTCCTTTCGTGAGCACTTCTCCATAATTAATTGCAGCCTTTCAAAGAACGGATCTTTATCATCGTCGCTGCTATCATTGGTGGGTGCATAACATTGGATAAAGTTCATTGTGATCTCTTGCTTCATTGTCCTGAATGATGTTTTGATTATCCTGGATCCATGAAATTCCCATCCCACAAGTGCATTTCCTGCTACTTTGGACAGCATTAGAGCAACTCCCTGAGTGTGTGGAGCATTTTCCCCTTTGTGACTGGAGTACAGCAGCATCTCTCCTGTACCTAGCCTTTGTTGTCCAGTTTGTGTCCAATTGGTTTCGCTGATTCCGAGTTCTCTCATGTTGTATCTCCTCAATTCCATTGCTATTTGGCTGGTCTTTCCTGTCTCCCACATTGTCCGGACTTTCCATGTACCTATAAAGAGTTTTGCTCTGGTTGTTAGAAGGTGCATCGGTCTCGTGACTTCCGAAGAATTTCGGCTTTCATCATGAGACGTCATAATTATTCCTTCAAGTCGGAGGGCAGAGTTTAAATGGTTTGAATTATTTTTTCTGGTTAGCGTTTTTTTAGCGAGTTAGCTTTTCTACGGGATGGGGTCGCTAACCCCACGCCCAACCCTCCTCCTTTACCCTGGCTTGGGACCGTCAGTCACTCTAGAAGAGCTACAGGCGGAGTTAGTTATCATATAACTAGCTAGTTATCAGTGTTTGGTTATTCATTTATGTCAGGTACGATTAAATTAGTTATTCATGGTTCCTTTAGAAATATATGAATAACTATTTCATCCTAGTATATCTCTCTAAATCTTCCTTACTTCCTTTGGTTATTAAGTTATCAGGTTATGATCTACACTGTCTTCAAATTGAATACCTTACATATGCATTTCACATTATTGCAGTACATTGTTTCACTTCGTAATTTCTTCTCTCTCATGCAGTTGAAATCGTTCAGTCGTACATATCCACAATCAACTGCCGGTCAACCTGTCCAACTGAGATTCGATGTAGATTCAGGTGTGTTTTATTATGCTTTTGTACCAACACAGAAGAATTGTACAAATGTGAACTCAACATTGTTAGTTGCAGAAATTTTTGTTCCAATGTCGATTCATTATCCACATGGAGTGAAGACTCGTTTCATCCCAGAACAATTATATTATAAAGTGTATGAAAATAATACTAATTTAATATTTGTGTATATGCCATGTACTTTGATCAAGACGAATATTGAACTTATAGAAATAACGATCATACCAAACCAAAATTAAGTTAAACATTCAAACAGTAATAATGATACTCGTCTATTAGTTTATTTGAAATCTGTATCCATTTTGTTGATTGTGAATTCGTTGTTATTTTTGCATCTTTTAACTTATTTTGGATAAACTAAAGAAAGACAACTTGATGGAATGTTTGAAATTTACTTTCATTTTGCAACTATGCCTAGTTGTACGTTGGGAGAATACGTGAAAACAAGTATATATTGCATGGCAAATAAAATTAGATGCATTGAGAAGAGAATGCACATAGAGATTACCTAAAATGCATCACAGGAATAAAGGACTGTGAAGCAAATAGTGAAGAATGAAAGTAACACATTGCTCATAATTAAAGATTGACGATATTATGCAACGAAATACTTCAGAACGATAAAGTAAAATAAAATATATTCAGAATCAATATCTTAGGACCGGAACACGTAAGGAAAATAGGGCTTACGACAAAACTGATGGATTAGACATTTTAGTATATAAAACTTAAACATTTCATCACTGTTAAACATCATACCTGTATGTTTGGTCTAAATCACTTTACTCTTACAATCAGAAACTTACTCATAAAGTAACTCTATAACTATGGATCGAGACTATCAATATACCTAGATTATGTAGTATAAATCGGATTTCAGTAAACAAATAGCCACTTACAGAAAGCTTACATTATTGTCTCTCATCAAATCGCTTTGTTATATGTGAATCAAATCTCCCACTGACATGACTTTTGATAACCCGTGTTAACGAATGGTTAATATCGACTCTTTATTGATGAAATTCTATTGAGTATAAGTATTGCCCTGAATAAAATACAATTATGTGGAGAATAAATCGTTAGTCAAAAATATGTAAGGACTAGGTAGATTGTGTATTTGTAAAGTCCTGAATAAGCTAGAACTTTGACAACACATAGTCGAGAATTAAAATCTGCAACAAGCAGACATCTTACAAGTTTTCATATTCATTGAATTCTCAATAGGTAATGTGGTCTTCTGTAAATGTAGTCACAAAATAGTCATGAATTTTCTATAGAACATGAAAATCTATCTATATGTTTATATATTGTTGTTAACAAAATGCATTATGATATGTGTTAAATAACGACTAGATTGATACGTTGAATACATAATCAAATCTTAACACAAGTTCCAGTTCATAAAATGTGGTTATATTACATTTGAAAAGCATATGGAAGCGTCCATGTCACTCAATTGAGATACGTGAAAAATCGAAGTTCACAAACATCATTTTGTCTCAAATAGTTATTATTTAGTGAATAATAGACAAAATTTGGTTACGAACCACAACTTGTGAGGTGTTTTCAGTGTTTACAACGTCGTTGTTTGTGTCTAAACTCGATAACGGTTAACTAACAAGCAAAAATCGAACTAAGAGCAAGCAATATGGAAACTGTTGACTTTGAACGGGGGTTAAACGACTGCACAAAATTTCGAATAACTACTACAGTAATTGATGTCAAGTCATTATAATGATAAATAAAATGAATGTTATAAGTATGTGTAAACATTTCAGAATATTATATGACCAACGTGCGTTACCACATAAGAGTAGAAACTGCTAGGAATAAAACTATTTGCTGAATAAAGGTAATAAGTAATATAAAACATTACACAGAAGTTGGAGTGAATCAGACCTAACAATAACAGTTTATTTAAAGTGAACTTACTTTTTATTTCTTGATTTAGATAGAATACACTGATTCTTCTTCAAGTTGATTCTATGAATTAGAAATCATTGGAATGAAACGTGCTGATCGGATTTCTGTTTCTTTTGTACAGTACAATAGTTAACTAATTATCACTAACCAGTAGCCTATTAAAATGCACAAAAATACTGTTTTTTTATGATCTATAATTTGTGAACATTGCTTCAAACTTCAGTTTCAAGTGGTCCAACTGAAAAGTCTTTACCACCAAGTTTAAGTCCGATCAATGGTGAGATATTTATCAGCTTCGCAGTTAACTATTCACTGAGCATCATACATTAGCGTCATTAATAATACCGTCATTAATAAATTTCTATACGTAGAAATGTATTCAGATTCCTATCATGTCAATGTAAACATCAGGTCATAAGATTAGTATGGTTATAGAAAGAATTCTTTTCAGGGGGTTCATTATAAAAACATTTTGTAATCGCTTGTAATTCATAAATGGATGACGTTTAGAATTCGATAATGTGTCATATGAATTTTAGCGAAACTATCTTTAGAAAAAAAACAATCTTATTTGTGACAATTGTTTCGTCGACATGTTATTCCTACTGCATTTGGAAGAGAATCCGTCTTCTAGGAGCAAAAGAAATATCTCATTTATTGGAACCTCACTGAGCATTTTTGACATTTGATGGTCTCACTGAATTCTCGATGTTTAAATCCTTGTTAAGAACAATTACTTTTTGATACACGTAAAATACTATATAAATTTTTTGATGTGAAATGATAGGTCTGCGATTTGAGTTTCTTTATGCATGTTGACAACTTTTCTATCGGGTGGAGTTGAGGGTAATAAAATTCATAAATTTCTGTTCCTTATTTTCCCAGAAATCACTCATGTGATTAGTGCGTTCTGCCTTTTTCCTATGTGATGCAGACTAATTATATAGTCACTGTTAAAATAACACCCTTCCCATTTTATTGGTCAAGGACCATGAACAGTTATTTTAGTCGGTTCATCAGTTTGAAAAAATAAATTTTCCAAGCATTTTGCCTAATTATGATTGTTAATGATACTTAACTTCTGTTGGTGAGCTAACTGCTCATCAATCTAAACGTTCATCAAAAACAGTAAGTCGTAAAACAACTCAATGCTAAACAGTTAATTCCATGAGAAGTAGAGTTATTTGATGTGGAATGACAACAAAATTCGAAATGTGAAATGTGTGCACAAGTATACTACTGTAACTAAGAATTTACCGGAGAAATTGAATGCCGATATATTAACCATTTTGTTTACTAATAAAGTGATAATATATATATGTATGATAAAATTATTCATGAAGTCCCATGCAATGATAGTGAATAACAGGATAGTAGATTGTAATGTCACTTAAAAGGAATTACAGATATAAACATTGATTACTGTTCAAAGAGTTCATTTGATCTATCGTGTTTCTCAGTCTTACTCTACTTCACAGAAAAATTTTGACGTCTTAGAACAAGCGATAATCTTAACTATTTATATTATTCACGTATATACGGGACTACGTTTTTTCAGTTATGTTCAGCCGTTCACAGATTATCCCGCCAAGGATAAATTCGAATATGACTTAATTATCAACTGAATCACTGGACGGATAAGTGAGATAAAAATAGGAAACATTCGAAACTGCCCATTTGTCAACTATTGAACAAATTAAATGTGTAGACATTTAATACCACTATCTCGTTTAGAGAAATGCGCTCTTTGTTACACTTTTAAATACCATCAGTACTTACAACATCGAAAAATCGACGACCTAGATTCGTTTATTTACCGTTGAAAGAAGTAGCTTTCCAGACAACCATTCACTTCACGATGTGTCTCTGCTGCACCTACAGGCTCAATGTTATACATAACTAACCTCTCAAAATAATATACTGAAAAAGGATGATTAACAAGGTTCGATTGACTTGGAAGTTTCAATCTTCCAAATAAACCTGATTACACATCCGAAATATCTTGGGCGATTATTTTCTTTCTACTATTTTCACATACAAAACTAATGACAACAAAAACTACAGTTCAGAAAATTAATGAAAGATGAATCGTATTCCTCTGTTAGGCTTTGAAATGACAGAAGCTAGTGTCTTTCTCGTATGCTATACGCAGTAACTCATGATTATGACTCACTGACCATCTTGATACTGCATAAGACCCTTCTATCAGTCAAACAAATATAAAAGAATTTGTGACCACTACCAACAGGCTTTTTAAACATATGGATAAAGACTTTACTTCAATACAAACTCCTACTGAGTTTTACTCGTTGTTCGCTGGAGATGCCATTTCCTTTCACATACATGTTTTATACAAATATAATTTGGATTTCGATTACTGTCTCGTATTGTAAAATGGCAGAAGTAACATTCTTGTAAGTTCTCAGTTGTCTCAGGAGTGACGCTCCCGTCTAAATTCCTACAGCAACGAACAGCTCTCTGAAATTCATATCAGTCTCATTATCTGAGTTAGACATGGCTGACAACAAAGATAACTAGAACTGACGTCGCCGAACTAGATTGGCTACTTCTGTGGGTCCAATAAAAGGCATTTCACTGGCGGCTAAAATGACGCCTTTAATTGATGGGAAAACGGTACAGGTAACAGTGGAGAGTAGAGGGATTTAAATATATTTTATGCCCTTAAAACATCAAAGAATGTTCCTCGCTCATGTTCATATTAATTGTATGAGAAATGAATAGTAATAAATGTGGTTGTGAAGATCAACTTTTCTCAAACCTGATTACTGCCTAATTTCAAGGATAACTTCATAATGTAAAAAGACATGATGCTTCTCACAAATATTTGATTCATGTACACGTCGTACATGAAATTGGCCTCATAGATAAGAACTTCACTGTTCTATTCTACTTATGATTGTCTTCAGAACACATAATGGCAAATTGATTGAAGGAGAAATCAGTGTATACAAAAAATTACAGCAAAGACTACAATTTCACAAACACATAACAGAACCCCTGGCCAACATTAAATCACAAGTTTATAACTACGGTTTAAAAGTATTTGGCTGTGTTAATTTGTTAACGTTGTCAACAAATGACTGTACTGGTCTTTTATATTTTTTGTTATAAGGAAAATGAACGAAAACACCGAAACAACTTCAACATGACAAATCGGAGTTGAACGATTCCACCATACATGATCCCAGTGAATATCATAAAAGATAGTTGTCAAAAAACACATATAAGTGAATATTATTAGTAATTTATAAGAACTCTTGTCTAAATTAGAACGAATAGTTTCACAGTATTTGAG